TATTTATATAGCCTATTTTGTAGGCATGGCATAGCCAGTGATGCATATATATAAAATGCCTAAATATTTGGCACCATTCTGAAGTTTTATATAGGCCACAATAGCAATCCCTTTGATGAAACCAAAGATCATCTAAATATCAATGCTAGGTATAAAAATATGTGAATTCTATACAGCAATTATGATATGATCTTAGAATAGGCTACTAAGTAGTCTAGGCCGAGCTACAGTATACTATATTCCTATAGCTAGATTGTTGTAAATTTCATATAAATACACGTTCGCATTTATTAGTCTATAGCTGTAGGGCCGCCTATGCATATTAAAAAGTATATGAAGCGAATAAAACATTTTGAATGCGGCATGGGCCCTAGGCCTATATAAAAATTGCTTATCATATCTCTTAAATTTAAAATAGCCTACCATTAACCAAATAATGAATAGGCCTAAAAACTACTTTTTAACAATAAGGAACCGATTATTGATTACGTACCTGCTTCTAAAATGAGTCGACGATGCACTTTATCGTCAATCCTCATGTGATCTAAATCTTCCTCATTCAGTGTTGGAAAGTCACTTTCTATGTCGTATCCTTTATTTTTAAATACTTCTTCGTACTGCATCAATCCAATAGGACGAAGAAAGTATGAAATACCTATCGAGTTCATTGTCACTGAAAATGAAAAATATTTTCTTTCCTTGAAAGAGAGACTATATTGGCTTGAAATTGAAGTACTGTACGATAACTCTCTTTATATAGTAGTAGTAGACCTAACTGGATCGACGGAGAATCGAAGAACACAATCCATTTCCCTCTTTAGTTATACTTGTTGTGATTATAAAACTCTATTAATTTTATCGGGCATGTGTCTACCTGACTGGTCCCAGCGAAGCTCATTGGTGGAGTGTCACAAGAAAAGCCCTTGTTTCGGATGACGTCATTGAGAAAGCGTCTCATTTGGACTTGTCCGAACACGCCCGAGGTTTCGCTCACAATTTGGCTGCCGTTGACGTCATCTTAGGAACGAAACCACATTTGACCTTTGACATTAATGTTTACACGAATGAAAGATGGCAGCCTACAGGAACGACGTGGATGAGAGCATGAATGCCGACAAGAAAAGCTGTTTAAAAGTTGCTCTTATAACGGGTATTACTGGTCAGGTTGGTGACTGATATTTATTTATCTATGCAGGCTTATTAAAGGAATCAGTAGAGTTAAAATGAATTGCTACTTTGTAAATGTAGAAAACCAGACTTTTCCCTGGCTGGGCGGAAGCCTTGTTTTTTTGACACTCACCCTCGCCAGCCACGTTCTTACCCGGCCTCACTCACCAGTGTAACTAGGCTACGTCTAGCCTGTGCTTATACTTTTATTAGGCTGCCTGATCTAGGCCCAATGCCTGCTTGATTTTGTGTAATTGAACAGCTCCAACAACACAATGTAATTTTTAGTAATCTTCGCTTACTAGGCCTATACTACTATATACATTTCAAGCGCCCTGAGCATCTTACATTAGATGGATTTGTGCGCTAGGCCTAGGCCCATATAAAACTACACTATTATTATTATATTATTATTACTAAATCTGCAAGACTATGCTAGGCCTATATGGTCGGCCTATAAATAGGCCTATGAGTACTAGGGCCTAGTAGTAGTAGTAGTAGTAGGGCCCTAGGCCTAGACTAGACTCCAGTAGTAGTACTAGGCATGCCAGCCCTAGCCTACTAGGCCTAGAGCCTAGCCTGGTTACTAGGCCTAGGCCTATTTAGATAGTTATGTCACAACCAAATACAAACTTGTTTATAAAAAAACATAGACAAAGACAAAAACTAACATAGAAAACTACTAATTCTCAGCAATACAATGAAATGCATTTGAAATGCAAAATTGAGCAATTAGTTACAGTTTTAGATATTACATAAATGTGTATAGCAAGTTGCATGTTTTAACAATAACAGTAACATTTCTGTCACTTTTTATGTAGTTCATTGGATACGTATCATAATCTTGGCATGAAAAATCTAGCATAGTTTCCTGAAATTATCCTATGTTTAATATCCACTTTCCGTGATATTTAATTATTTTTTTAGATACTCATTAATGTATTTTACTGTAATTTGTAAAAAGCTGAAAATATCAACACATAGCGACCAATTTTGGAAAATTTTAAAATGGTAAACAACTTTGACACATGATTGACCCGATGGGTGACACCATCGTGTGTAGCAAAATAAAATTAAATGTGTTAAGAAAGCTCTTTTAACCAGTCTCTTTTAAACTCCTCGAATAAATCTGGCTTTATCACTTAGACGGTCTACTAAAGTCACTCTGCTAAGACCATTGCTATAAAACGGTCTTCGCTTAGACCGCTTTGAGTATTGCAACGCAAACAAGCACTCACTGGTAAAATAAAATTGAGGGTGCTGTTATTCTTGCTCAAACATGCATATTTATCATAATGAACACAAGTAAACGTAGACCGGATTTTACAGATGCTCAGAAGCTTGCGGAATATTTGTCGTTAGATTCTTAGTCTTTGACGGTCTAGGCCTACAGGTCTAGTACCTGCATGATGAAAATGATTTAAGACCGTTTTAAGCCTCCTCTGAGTAAGCTTTAAAATTTAAGACGGCTAACTGGTTAGACCGCGGTATGGCAATGGTCTATAATCATAGACCAGTAGTGACGTCACAATTATAGCCAGCTAAGCGTTAAGACCGACAGAAAGTCCAGGTTGTTTTCCAGTATATTAAGAAAGCCATCTAATTCCTAACCCCAACAGTACTGTCATTTCCTGGGAAAAAAAATGTCCTTGAATTTGTATTTTCATAGTAGTAAAATCTCAAATTTTTTAAAGGATACATGCAGAGTTGTTATTGATGAGAGAAAATACTTTCTAAGTTTAAACTTTATCAACAATTTAAAAACATATAGTTGAAAAGGGTAGTTATTTTTATTTTATCTACTTGACTTTACAAAGCATCAAAAATAGAATTTCTTCAGTGACAAAACCTCACTGGGGCTCCAGACTTTTGTCATAGTGACTTGGTTATTTTTAGGGCCCCAATGCACTTCTTTATTATAAATGAAATGAAATCAACAACATATCCTCAATTTGTTGTTAATTGTAACCCATTAGGTAATTTGTAAAATGTGCTTATTAAAAAAAAAAAATCATGAAAAGTATCTTTCACAGAAATATTATAATAACCATATGACATGCCATGTTAAATACAATAATAAAATATGAATTATTTATAACAAACGTTCCAGCCCCTGGAACTCAAAATTCATGATACTCAAGATACTGAATTCCGATCTTTCAAGGTGTCTGAAAGACTTTGTATGCTGATATTGTTGGAAAAGTTGGCACACAATGGAAAAATTGACACAAATATTTAATGATTGGCACTAAGTAAAAAGCTAATTAGTGGTTTTTGGTATTGTATTTTGGGTTCTTTTCTGAAATTCAGTAGGAGTTTTATAATATTCAGGGAACTGGGATTTAGCAGGAAAACTTGGGAGGCTCCTGGTTGAATTGGTGAAATTGGAAAGTATGATAAAGGTAATAATGCTGCATTACTGTATCCCATGCATAATGCCAGCTCCTCTTAAGTACAGTAGTATGTACTGTAAGTGCAGTATACAGTAGACCTGGTATTCATATCACCCCATATTGAGTGGTGGCTACAGAAATTTTGTGATGGGATCCAACAACTCTGACAATGGGTCTGAATCAAGAGTTTCCCTAGAGCCTAAGTCAAAGTTCCCGGAACAAAAGTCTCAGGTGGGGTTCATGGGGGACAGATTTTATGGCTCTTGGAATGGCCCAAAATTTTAGAGCATTTCACCCACTGCCCCCCCCCGGTACTGCCATTGCTCATACTTTATCTTCCTTACTGGTACCCTCACAATTAATGAACTTTTCCATTTGTTCATTGAATCATTATTCCATGTTGTATTCAATTCATGTTTTTTTTTTAGAGAACGTACAATTACCAATTTAAAAACAAATAGTTGTTTTTTGTAATTGATTATATGCTTATTTAAGGATGCACAATCATTGTGGTGTGTGCTGTTTAACTAAAAAGTTTGTTTCTCAATATGTACTGTACTATTGCCTCATACTCACAAACTATTCAACCTAATCTATGAACGTCATCAAGATATTGCAAAATTGTTTAATTATGAAAAATTTATTTAGAAATTTAAAAAATACATACCTCTACTGTACCGCCTCCAAATTAACAGTGAAACACCAGTCCTATAGTCAACGTGGTGGATGGCTATAGTTAATACCTACCATTACATGGTTGTGAACTAATATGTATTTTATGTATGTCCCAAAATGTCAGTGTTTCAACAAACCCCGCATTCCAACTACAGTAACCCCACTCTCCCCACAGTAGGCAATGGAATTCACTTCTTCAAGTGATTAGCATTTTACAGACTTCCTCATTCTTACAGCTAAGTCTTTTCCTGTATAAGTGTTGCAGTATTTTTTGCATTTGTGAAAATATTTAATTTAGTAATGGTGGTGTTGATGATATTAAAAATGGTCATTGATTGATTGAATTTAGTTGATGCTTGGCATACTGTAGGCCTATTGACACAATATAGGAATGATTTTGAACGAAAAAGTAAAAAGTATTATTAAGCATCACAAACGGCAGGAGTCCAGCCCATTTCCAATAGGGTCCAAAATCACACATAATTAATGGTAAAAACATTAATATATATAAAATTTAATAAGTGACATTTATAGGTAAGTAATACTGTGGCACGTACATGATTTCGTTTCACATTAAGACTACTAAGCAATTATTGTGGTAGCCAAAATATAATTACTAAATTACATTTTTTTGGAGCAACTTTTTAATAAGTAGACATGGCTAAATGTTTATTCTGCAAGTTGGTGCAAATTTCACACTCCACAGATTACTGTGATAATTAAGAGTACCAACATTAAATGATCAAATCTTCAGATATCAAATGTTCAATACTAAATCCATACATTTTCAACTACAATACAGTATGTCATAAAACCCAGTTCTATGCAAATTATTTTAGTACAAAAGATGCTTTTGCAGTTAAGAAGTACGTAGGCAGAATTAAAATCGTTGCAATCTATTGTTAGTTGCTTAGACTTGCTCTATTTTAATCTAAGCTTTTTGCAAACTGTACTGTCATGAAAATGTTAATTTTATATAGTGTTTCTTGATCCTTATAAATGCTCATTAATAATTATTTAAAATTATTATTATATTCTTTATTGTCAAACTCATGTTAAAAATACAAATTTGCAAATTGACTTACAGTACTTACAAAACAACAATACTGTACAATTAAACAACACAATATGATAAAAAGCCCATCATACAATAAAATCAATGACACAAACTATCATAGTTAATGATTTTATTTTTGTTGTTATTCGAAGATTTTTCTTGTTATTCGGTTATTTCTCTCTTAACTGATCTAACAATTTAAATTACTGTATTTCTGAAGATTTTTAAAGACATTTTATAATATGTTTTTGTAGTTAAAATTTGGTTCGTAAAATCGAGAGTTTTCACAAATGGGAGGTTCATAATTGGTAGATGTTTACTGTACTACAATAGCCTCATAAAATCCTTTCATCATGCTTTGAAGGAGCACCACTGGTTGGATGTTATTTTGCCAGAGCCATGGATTAGTCAAAAATTTGCTTTGCTATACTGTATAAAATCAATAATACATTTTTATTCTTCAGTCTTGAGCTTGGTACCAAGAATATAGTTTGTACTGTAAAGCTAATAATATTTCAGTCAATACAGTATTTCTTTGTGTACAGCATAAATATACCTTTATTCCAATGACCTTTAGCATTTGGTGGGTTAATGTTCTTATAGCAATGCTAATTATATTTTTCATAATGTTTGTTATTTTGATAGATTTTCAATTTATAATTAGCTTGACACTTATATTACTGGCTTTTTTCCAATTCATATTGAACTCTATAGAAGAGCATTTAACCTATTTAAGAGGTATCACGTGCGATAAACAGATATTGTTCTATTCCGGTTATGGCTTCTCATTCCACTAACATTTGGGTACCATATACTCATCTATAAGACAATGCTTAAAATTGAAAACTATGATTGAAAAACAGAGGGTTGTC